ACCGGCTCTGCTGCCTATCTAGAGGTTAGCCCCGTGTATGGCTGACTGGCCCAGAGAGCGAAAACTAATAATATAACTGTTTTTAAAAAGCTCTTTTGGGATTGTTTTTCTCACTCTCTGCATGGGACATGTCTCATTCTCTCGCGGTCGCCGATCGAGTCGCGCTTTTTTCGCCTTCTATATTTGCACGAAGGAACGTGTATGTAGGTATAGGACGCGCTGTGGCTTTGATTTCGCGGTTTACCAGTTTCTTGTTTTACTCCATAGAGTCATTTGAACTTGTTCTACCCGTTCGGCTGGGTGAGAAGGTTAGTTTGGTGCAGGTATGACGATGGTGGGGATTCGAAAAGGTGTTTCAAAGGAGCAGATTCATGGAACGGTAAAGTACGCTTTCGCTAGAAGCATGGTGCGATGATCATAAACGGTATAAGTTTTATTATTGAACGATACCAGAATCATGTGCGAAGGGACGGCATTAATGATAAAAAAAAAAACAAATGAAACAAAGGGCAATTGGACCAATAACAATCATAAGATTGAAACCTCTTAAACATTCTGCGCTTCTAATCAATCCAAAAGTAAAATCTGAGTAGAGAGAGGTGAAATACTGATAATGAAGATGAATACACTGAGCATATTGGAACGGAGAGACAATGATACACAGCAAATAAAATATATATAACTATCACACTTTTAACTGGAAACATGTGGCATTTAGGCAGCGGATGTTTTGACGAAATTGTACATATTGATGTACCGTTGACTGCGTAATTACATTCATATATTAGTGCGTTCAATGATATTTTTAGTATTAAAATTAAACTCAATTCCTTATTTTCTATAACAATCACTGGAAAGCTGGTAACATATACATGATAATTTAGACCTAATAGCAAATAGTAAAAAGTTATTAGTAAACTCAAAACAATCATCGGGAAGTATTCAATCAAGTGGCATCAAAATTTCGTCAAACTTTCAAAAATGCAAATATGCCAGTGTAATTTTGCGCTATTAACCTCCAAAGCACAAAATTACCGTATAGCCCAAAAATTACTATTTGTACCAATCAACGCGGTCTAAAGGTCAGCGACGAATGGCAACCATTAGCGGATCCTTATGCTGCAAAACCACATGCGTGCCCACATTTCGGGGGTGCATCATCATTTTTATTTATGTAACAAGTTCAAATTTGAAAGCAATTTTCCCGCCTCTCGCCTAGGTCCGTCCAATGCCAATCGCAAAACTGCAGCCTCCGCTCAGCAACAAAGCACCATGTAGCATTCACACATGGCCGCAGTATGTCTAGCCTCTCTAGAGGTTACCGGTAGCAGCAAAATAGTAAACGAGCGCACAGGTAAAAGCAGAGCGGGAGTTGAAATAACCTTAGATGCGGTCACAGCAAACCGTGGCAGCTACCAGGAGCGCAGAACTGCATGCGGGTCTTTCGAATGGGGCAAATCTTCCACATTCGTATACCTATAGACAACGACGGCGATGCAAAAGAGTAGCAGCAGCAACAGCAGCAAATCGTCGATGTTCGCTACCGACCGACCGACCGACCGACCAGCTTCCTTCTGTACATGGTTTTCACCCCCACCTCATCTAGCCATTCTCATTCTCCCGTGAGCTTAGCTTCTCACGTGCAAACGAGTGAACAAACGATCGAAATTGAATAAAGTTCCGATGGGTAGCTTCGATACTAAACAGCTGGGAGGCCTCAAGAAGCTTTAGTATGAAGGCACCATGCGATTCGATTGCTGGAAGATGTGGTGGAGTGAGCATTGGCGATCAGCTATAATAGTTTAGTATTGGAAAAAATCAGTTGATTGAGCTTGGAATGTATTTCAGGATTGATTAATCTGTATAATCAGGTAATCAATTTTTCAATAATATTTACAGACTGCGAGGAAGATCAAACTCCCAGAGCCAATAGTCTAATATATGTATTGAATTGAATACTGATGAATGTGGGAGTCGCAGTGGAATACCTGTGTAAAGAAAAAGATAAGAATTAGTAATTTCCATTTGATTCCACTACCTTAATTGAAAATCCTTGACAGATACGCGTATTTTATCTACAATGTACAGACTTCTTCAGTATTTTATACTAACAAACGACTGAAGAAACCATAGCAACTTATTCATGTATTGAATTGTCAACCTCTAAATTCCACATCGCATCGCATACCACAGTGGTCCAGGAAGGAAAACAATTTGTCATAGGGCTTTTGTCTTTAGTTTGAGACGTTTGGTTTTTTCGGTGTAGTTGTTTAGCGTTGAAAAATCCTCCTTTGGCCGTTTTTAAAATTAGGGTGGTTTTCTAATTAAACGATTTATTAATCAAATACCGTTGCGTTCGAGTGCAAAGGGTTTTACAAAGTTTGATTACAAAAGCTCTTGTGCCGTTATCAAATATTACGCCTGATTTATCAATTTTATCTAGATGAACGCTTCATGGATAATGGATAATGGATATTTTTGGTCGCTATTGAAGCTTTAGTCGATTGCTGAATTTATGTATGGGACCAAATTAGGAGCATTTAGGCCGACATTTCATCCATTTCCCCATTGCTATGAATTTGATAGAAACCTGCAGATAAATATTGGACTTGTTGGGCAATGTACGGAAGTGGCAAGGCAAATCGTTGTAAGGCTCAATGAAAAGGGAAAACTACACTAAGAAATCACGAATATCATTGGAAAATCGAAAACTTTTGTTTTCATTTCTCAAAGCAACGATTGCCAACCGGAAGACCACTTTTTAACGAAGCGTGCAGAGTCGATCCAAAGGACTGGTCTGGAATGGTCTGCATGAACTATTATTTCAGAGGCATATCACACTCAGCATGAGGGAGTACAGCGTTCTCCAAGATGCCTGCGTAAAGATATTGATCCATTATTTTCTTTATCCAAAAGATAGGGCCAACCCCGTACCACGATAAGCACCCCCTAAGCAAAATACAACCGCATTATCAGTTGGCTGGACATCTTTTTTTTATTATTATTTAGTTATTGGCTGGACATCTGACCCATATTTTTTTCCATCTGGTGAAATTGATCTTGGATCCGTCCGACCAGCGAATATTTCGCCACTTTTTCCATTTTCTGGGCTGAACCAATCCAAATGTTCTCTAGCAAACTTCAGCCGGGTTCGTAGACGCTTTTAGTTAAGTAGCTGTACTTCCCTGGGGAAGCATAAGGACTGTTCATTAATGAAAGTAGACACCTGTTTCTGAAAGGAAATATTTATTTACGAACAAATTCATAAGTTTTCTTTATATAAATGAAAATCAACATACATTTGACCGATTTCACGTGACTTTGAATATTTACTTCTCATTTTTAAAGAACGCTCGGAGTTTTCTCTTGATACTGCCCATTAGATTCTGCACAACTTTCTTCTTAACTTTTCGTTGTGCTGCAGATCAAATTTTCTTGAAGCAGTGAACAGAGCTTGCTTCTCTTCCATCTTTCTTAAGATGCCGTTTAATTATTGCCCAGTATCTTTATCACGGGTAAATCTTCAAGATAACACGTTTCTCCAAAATTCTTAACCATCTTGTACACTGTAGATTTACTGCACTTCATGCTTTATGCCAATTCTCGAAACGACAACTTTTCGGAAAACCATTTGAGCAGAGTTAATCTGCGAGTTGTTAAGCTCTGATCCGACCGAAATCCGTTCGAAATTTCTCACTTTTTTTTATGTTTCAGGTATATAAAAAATAAACAATACAATACACACTGAGCGAAAATTCACAATTTTTCGTTACGTTTTAACCCTAAACCATTGATAAACAGAACTTTCTTTAATGAACAGATACTTTTAGTTAAGTAACTTTACTTCCCTAGGGCAGCATAAGGCTTCATTCAACAGGATGTTGCTCAACAAGTCTCCTGCGAATCGTTCTCAAACTGACCGACAAACCTAATTCCCGTTTAATGATCACTGCTGATTTAAAAGGATCAATATTCGAGAGCTATATGACCATTGTCACTCACGGTTGTTTTTTGCAGTCTTTCGGTTGGCAATCGTAGCTTTCGCGAGTGCCAAAAGAAATCCGCGACTTCTAATACTAATCCGCGACAAAAAAAAGCTGTTCTCATTGCCTAAAAATAGCATTTGTATACTACTTCATGGCATTTCAAGCTGACAGTTCTCAAACTGATTGTTGCCCGATAAAGGCAGGTAGTGCTGGCAGTTCTAGTACTGCACTGCCAATATTGTATGCAAGTTGATTTGATAAAATGTTCCAACACAACGTAGGTTTAAATAGACAATGTAAGGGAATAAAAAGGAGTTAGTAAAGTTCCAACAGCCAAGAAATAAAGATAGTTTTTTTCAATTAAATAAAGTGTTGGTGATCTTTAGTGCCTACTCCGCCGATTTTGCCGTTCCGTTTTTTGGTGACTAGTGTCCGTGTGTGATCCCGAAATATCCCGCCGGAAAACCACGATCCTGCCCTAACATATTGGTGCCGTGACCAGGATCAGGTTTCCTCTCAGAAATCCCGCCATCGCACTACGGAAACTAGCGCTACATTCGCCATCATCCCGATCTATTGTGATCCCATCGGCATTCAAGTGATCGCCATTCTTCTCGGATCCACTTGTGCTTCACCGCCATCGAGAATTTCTAAACCCGTAAAAGTTCGTGTTTGGATTTATTAAATACAAGGTTAGTACCCTTAGGCACACGGTACGTAGTATTCCAAGTTGTGCAGGAGTTCCCGCTGGTGCTTTTAGATTTTTTCCAATTTCATTCCAATTCCGTGATACCGCATAACCACCCACCTGTCCGGATACACGCCCAGCTGTTGAGCTAACCCGTCCAGGAAGTGACCACCACTAGGTCCAGTAAAAGCAACCGCTGCTAGTTCCACAGTGTCATCCGTTTTTTACCGCATCACCGTTCCGTTGACCAGTTCCAGAATTTAAATAAAATCAAAAGGCCTAATACTAGCCTTGAGAAGTGCACTCATCGACACTCCGCGTCCAAAATGGCGGACGATCGCACGAAGCAGCAACTCATCACCCGGCGGACAACCCTCATCGCTTCCTTGGGCAGAACGGAACAGTTCGTCGAGAACTACGCTGCAGAACGAGATCGAGGACAAGTGCAACTACGTCTCGACAATTTGGACACTGTGTGGATGGGACTGAAGGATGTGCAAACCCAGCTAGAGGACATCGAAACAACGAACGAAGGTATGGCACAAAACCTCCACTACCGCTCCCATAATGAAACCCGCTACTTCGTAATAAAGGCTGCTCTTCAATCGCACCTCCCCATTGTACATTCTTCCACATGCTCAATCCCTCAACCTGCTGGCTCTGGGCTCTCGGGAATCAAGTTGCCGACCATTACTCTGCCGGAATTCGACGGCGACTACAATCAGTGGCTAGCCTTCCACGATACGTTCGTTGCTCTGATTCATGCCAACCCCGAGGTCCACGATATTCAAAAATTGCACTACCTTCGTGCTGCTCTCAAGGGAGAAGCAGCCCAACTGGTCGAATCCATTGGTATCAGCTCCGCCAATTACACCATCGCCTGGCAAACTCTCGTCTCACGCTAAACCAATGACTACCATCTAAAAAAACGCCACCTGCAAGCCCTCCTCGACTGTCCTTGCATGAAGAAAGAGTCCGCCTCAGCATTGCATTCGCTCGTCGACGAATATGAACGCCACACCAAAACTCGCCAACTCGGAGAACCAATCGATTCGTGGAGCACTATGCTAGAGCACCTACTTTGCCTTCGCCTCGACGACGGTACACTAAAAGCATGGGAAGACTACGCTACGACCGCTGAAAACCCCGACTACCGTTGCCTGATTGAATTTCTTCAGCGTCGCCTCCGTGTACTGGAATCGATGTCCGTCAACCACCAAGCGCAGCCAGCACCCAGTTCGCAACCATCCATGTTTCGGCGACCACCGTTCCATAAAATCGTTTCACATGCCGCAACCGAATCCACTCCGCGAAAATGTTATTCTTGCGATCAACATCATCCATTGTTCCAATGCCCACAGTTCGATAAAATGTCCCCCGTCGATCGCCTGAATCTGGTCAACCATCATCGACTTTGCCATAACTGCTTTCGCCAAGAACATATTGCTCGCAACTGCCAATCAAAATTCTCCTGTCGTCATTGCAAAAAACGGCACCACTCGTTGATACATCCTGGCTACCACCCAACCGATGCTGTGCAGCAACCGTCCACATCGCGCATAGCTGCATACACATCGAAACCAACTGATAGGCGAGATACAGCAGTGTCAAACCAGCGAACATCAACATCCACGTATGCTGTCACTGCTCAGTCAAGCAATACATCACAACCATCAAATGCGAATGTTCTGCTGTCGACTGTCGTGTTATTTGTTTACGACTCTGATGGAAGGTCGCACCCCGCTCGAGCATTGTTGGATAATGGCTCGCAATCCAATATTATCAGCGAAAGGTTGTGCCAACTTCTTCGTCTGCAGCGCAACAAAAGCAACATTCCTGTTTTCGGTGTGGGTGAATCGTCCTCCAACGTCAAGCACTCCGTCAGAACCACCATCGGATCAAGAAAGTGCGACTTCGAAATTAGCCTCGATTGTCTCGTCATGCCCCGCATCACAATTGATTTGCCAGTTGTATCCACCTCTGCTGAGGGCTGGCATGCCCCGCAGAATCTGTTTTTAGCCGACCCGACCTTTATCAAGACTGGTGCCATTGATATGCTGCTCGGAGCCGAGCACTTCTTTACTTTCGTAAACCCAGGTACCCGTATAGAAAAGGCAGAAAATCCCGTCCTCATCGACAGTATCTTTGGTTGGATCGTCACCGGTAGGAATCAGCACCCACAAAAACCTCTCCACGTAGCATGCAATGTTACCCTTGCCGATCCACTTCATACAGCTCTTGAACGTTTCTGGCGCATCGAAGAGGTAGAAAATCAGTTCAATTACTCGGTGGAAGAACAGCAGTGTAAATCCCATTTCATTTCCAACGTTTCCCGCACCCCAGAAGGAAGATAGGGGAATTTACGTATTCTCGTCAATCTAAGCAGCTTCCGCACTTCTATTAGCATTTTCTCAGTGTCACGCACACATATGATGTGTCTGTTTGTTTACATTCATCTGCTGCTAGCTATTCTATCCATTCCAATCAACAAAACTGTCCAAAACGGTTTGAAAACGTTTTTAAGGCGCTACAAACTTCTCAGGTGAGTGTGACTATTGTCGGCAGCCTCTTTTACTTCGGCAACCTTTCCGTTTAAACTGCGTGTAAACCAGCTGTTCTATTATCGGCAACTCGAAATCAGCCGTATTTTGATGTGCTTATGTTTCTTTTGCAGAAACACCTGGCATAACAGGTATGCTCAGTCGTAAAAATGTATTAGGATTGAAGCTGAAAAACTAAGGAATCGTTTTAATACATTCAGCGAAGTGTTTTAGTGAGAAAATACATCGAAATTAACGTTTCAATTGTGGTTGCCGAAAACAGTCGATGGCTGCCGAAGCCATCATTTACCCTACATGGTTCGCTTGCCTCGTCATCCAAATTTCGATCACTTGCTAGGTGAATCGAAACCAGCCGCGCTGCGTCGCTTCCACCACCTCGAAAATCGTCTCAATAAGGAACCCGCCATGAAAGAGGAATACCATTCATTTCTGTTGGAGTATCTGTCCCTAGGCCATATGAAGCTTGTTCCTACGAGCGAGATCAAGCCACTCCAGTCACACTACTTACCTCATCATGCCGTTCTGAAAGAGGCCAGCACGACCACAAAAGTCCGTGTAGTATTCGACGGATCCGCCAAAACATCCACTGTCAATTCCCTAAATGATGCCCTCCTAGTTGGACCAATCATCCAAGACGAATTACTTACCCTCGTCATTCGTTTTCGGAAGCATCTAATAGCCCTTGTGGCAGACATAGCCAAAATGTATCGTCAAGTCTTGCTCCACCCAGAAAATACCCCACTGGTCCGAATTCTCTGGCGCTTTAATTGCAACGAACCGATTTGCATCTACGAGCTGCTAACGGTAACCTACGGATTGGCCCCATCGTCATTTCTTGCCACCCGTACCCTACAGCAGCTTGCTTCGGACGAAGGAGATTCGTACCTACTCGGTGGTCCCGCGGTGAAGAAAGGATTCTACGTTGATGACTACATAGGGGGAGCAGACACGGAGGAGGAAGCTGTCCGCCTACGCAACGAGCTAGATGAGCTGCTAGCTAAGGGTGGCTTTGAGCTTAGGAAGTGGGCATCAAACAACCAAACCGTACTGGAAGGACTCGATGCTTCGAAGATTGGAACCCAACCAGCTCTGAAATTAGGCCATGAGGAACCCATCAAGGCACTGGGAATTAGCTGGGAACCCGGGACAGATCAGCTACGATTCGATTCCACTCCGATTCTCACAAACGGACCACCCACGAAGCGATCCATTTTGTCGGCTGTATCGAAGCACTTCGACCCGCTTGGTCTTACAGCACCGGTCATCATACGGGCAAAAATGCTACTACAGGAGCTGTGGCTGCAACCCTGCGGATGGGATGAAGAAGTAAGTGACACTATACGAGTAAAATGGAACACCTACTGCACCGAACTACCCAAAATTTCGTCTTTCCGAGTCAGCCGATACGCATTCTTGCCAAACTCCACTGTACAGTTGCACACTTTCGCGGATGCATCTCAGCAAGCATACGGCGCTTGCATTTATGCCCGATCCACAAATCCCGAAGGTCACATCCACGTCCAGCTGATTGCATCGAAATCGAAGGTAGCCCCGCTCAAGCGATTATCCGTTTCCCGGTTGGAATTGTCGGCAGCGGTTCTCGCTGTTAGATTGCATCAAAAGGTCATCCTGGCCCTGGATATGCCCATTTCAGCCTCACATTTCTGGTCGGATTCCACCGTCGTACTTGAATGGCTACGTTCACCACCGCACACCTGGAATACTTTCGTCGCGAATCGGGTATCTGAAGTCCAAACCACTACTCTGGGATCACGTTGGCATCACGTCGCCGGCAAGCAGAATCCAGCTGATCTCGTCTCGAGGGGGATGAAAGTTGATGATTTCCTCGGGAGCGATCTTTGACATCATGGACCAGTGTGGCTAAAACTTCCCGAAGCGGATTGACCTGTGGCAATGCAGCGGCAGAAAGTACCGGAGGACATCCTAGAGCGGCGAGAGATGGTGGCGGCGATCCAAAACAAACCCAGCAAGAATCCGATATTTTGCACGTCATCCTCCTACAATCGATTGATTCGAGTGACAGCGTATTGTTTTCGTTTCATCAGAGCCTGTCGTCGTCAAACGTCAAGCGACCCTGCAGAAAAGACAACAATGATCACCGTGGACGAAATGGAACTGGTCCGCATAAAATTAATTAAACTATCCCAAGCAGATGTTTTCGAGGAGGAGATTAGGTACTTGGGGAAGGGAAAAGCGGTTCCGAAGCATTCGTACTTACGCCTTTTGTGCCCCTTCGTCGACCCGGAAGGCATTCTCAGAGTTGGAGGTAGATTACGTCTTTCGGAGCAGCCTTATTTAACCAAACATCCCATCCTCCTACCCAGTTCCCATCCATTTACACGGTTAGTTGCCAACCATTATCACCTGAGACTGTTACACGGTGGCGGCCGTGTAACCCTAGCAGCCATCCGGCAAGAATACTGGCCAATTCAAGGACGTAGATTGGTAAATGGTATCGTTAGAAACTGCTTTTGATGCGCTCGTGCTTCACCCGTACCCACCAAGCAACAAACCGGACAGTTGCCCAAGACAGAATCACTCCTAGCCGTCCGTTTTCAGTCACCGGAGTTGACTACGCCGGCCCAGTATACATCAGGCCAATCCACAAACGAGCTGCACCAACCAAGGCCTACATCAGCGTGTTTGTATGCTTCGTTACCAAAGCCGTGCACCTGGAGCTTGTGAGTGATTTATCCACCCCCGCATTTATCACTGCACTGCGAAGATTCATCGCTCGTCGTGGTTGCCCTGCACACATCCATTCCGATAACGGAAAACACTTTCAGGGTTCCCAAAATGAACTTCGCGAATTATACCAGCTGATGCAGAAGGAGAAGACGACCGGTGAAATAGCCACCCACTGTGCGAACCAGGGAATCCAGTGGCATATGGCACCGCCGAAAGCCCCACATTTTGGTGGGTTGTGGGAAGCAGCAGTGAAGATCGCGAAGAAGCACTTACATCGACAGTTCGGCAACGCAATGCTCTCGTTCGAAGATATGTCCACCGTGCTGGCACAAATTGAGGCAGCAATGAATTCCCGGCCATTGACTCCACTGACTGAGGACCCGAATGATTTGGCTGTGCTCACTCCGGGACACTTCCTTATAGGTACAACAATGACCGCTCTCCCCGAAGTCGACGTTAGCAACATTGACACCAGTCGTTTGGACCACTACCGGCGTCTCCAGCAATTTTGGTACCAGTAGAAGACCGAATACTTGCAGGAGCTGCAGAAGGAAAACCGACACATCACACCGAACACTGCAATCCAGCCCGGAAGATTAGTCGTCGTCGTCGATGAGTTTCTCGCTCCCGTGAAG